GGGGGCGGAGGGGGGTTGGGGCACACACAATGAATGCCACCTGCAGGGATTATTGATACTGCAGGGCCAGGGCAAAAAGGAAAGTCTGTGCACTGGAGAGTGCATTTGGGCTGGGGACCTGCTGTCCCTCAGGGATGGGTGACCTGCTCAGAGGACTGGAGCTGGCCACTGACCCCATGTCCTGAGCAGGGTAGCCGTGGGAGTATGGGGTCCTCGGGACTGAGACTGCGGGCGGTGTTTAGAGAGGCCAGGCCATCACAAGGCGAGATGGAGAGTCCTGACCCTTGGGGCTTCGTCTCTCTCCTTTCAGGATCAGCATGCCTATCCAGACCTACTCTTCCCTCAACTTCCGAGGTGAGTGCATTGGCCAGTGAAGCCTCAGGTGGACAGGGCTCAGTGTCCAGCCTGGCACTGCCTAAGGCCAGCCAGAAGCAGAGGATGGAACTGTGGCCACAGGGCTGGGGTCTGGGGAAGACAAAGGAGGCTCCTTTGGGGGGGGGAGGGGTGTTGGGGAGGCAAAGGTGAAGGTACCTTTGCCTGAACAGAGGGAGCTTTTGATCTTACTTCGTGGTATTGACATGTCCGTCCCCTTTATCTTGTTAGAGTATTGAACATCAGCAAACAGCTTCTGTTTTCTGATAAACCCAACCCCAAAGGTACCAGGGCCTGGCAGTGGGACCATATACCCTGGCCCCAAGGCAGCCACCACCCAGGGTCTGTTTGGCAAGTTGCCAGTACCCCTGCCCACAGCTGCTTGTTGAACACCTCCAGTTTGCTGGAGCAAGATGTTGGAGACACATTAAAAAAAAAAAAAAAGAAAGAAAAATGAAGCCAAACCTTAGCAAAGCCAAACAATTAAAAGAAGGAGCTCCTAGGGCATTTTGCCAGACTGACATTAGTAATATGCAGATCGAGTGGCTTTCCAACCCCAGAGCAGAAAAACACACCATAATGATACATTAGGAAAGCCAGCTGAAGTCCTTGGCCGCTCTGCCTTTCCTAGATCAAACCTTTTATGTCTTCGATGTTCATTTCCATCAGGAAAAGACATACGCAGTGCTCCCAAGCCACCCGGCCTGCTCAGGCTGCTTGCTCGCTGAGAGATGCGTGAACACCCCACGCGTAGCCGCCAGGACTTGCAGCTGGCCATCCCTCTAAAGCACACAGCCCTCTTTTCAGTTGACAGTTTATGCAGACACTGTGAGCTTGCATTTGGTGTGGACCTCACTGGTTTCTTCAAACCAATGTGTGGCCACAATAGAGCAAGTGTGAGGAAACACACATACAGAGGGCCAGAGATGGACTCGTGCTGGCTCTCTCATCCCCATCCTAAATGTGGTGGGGTCCTGACAGGTACCCTAAAGGACCGTAAGAAGTCCTTTACAGAGTATTTTGGAACTGGGCTTTGGGGTCCTAGCTGGCAGGATACAAATTCTTTGGGGTTCAGCGGAAGTGGAACTAGAAGTGTGGGCGATGGGAGTAGCGGGCAGCTTGCGCCTGGGCTGGGGGTGGGTCTCCGCCCTTCTACCCGCACCTGGAGCACAAGTCTGGGCAAGCTCAGTCAGTCTCAGCTCCAGGACAGTCTTGCTGAACATATGGGTGGATCCTTTACAGAGACCAGCCCCGAGCAAAGGAGTTCTGAGGTCCATACCAAGAAGACGGTGATGATCAAGACCATCGAGACCCGGGACGGGGAGGTGAGGGGTCCGCCCACGCCCTAACCCTTGCTGGGGGTGTGGGGTGTATCTCATGCCTTCCACCAGCAGTACTGGGCCAAGGCCTTGTCTGGGAGGGCCCTGCTGCCTCGGGTTGGACAACAGTCCAGAGGGGCCACTCCCGCCTCTGGCCACACCGTCTACACTGGCTTTCTCTTTCCCCCAGGTTGTCAGTGAGGCCACACAGCAGCAACACGAGGTGCTCTAAACCAGAGACTCCTCCGCCAGAGACCACCCCGGCCCCTGTCCTCACTGCCTTCTGAAGCCAGCCTCCCCTCCATCCCAGGGCACACACAGCCACCGTGCTCCCCTCACAGCCTCTAGCCCCTGCCACCAGCCTCCCACATGGTCCCCACAGGGACATGGCACTTCCCTGCCCGGCACAGAGCACAGCCCAGTCGCGAGTCCTGGATGTTAGGAAATGAGTGAGCCTGGCTCTTGGCCGCCCTGAATGTGCAAGGTGTGCTGGGGGGGCTGGAGGCAGCCAGGGCAGAGTGGTGACCCTGCCCCTCCCTCCTCGGGACCCCAGGCTCCGGCTCAGGAGAGGGCCTCAGAGTAGGGTTTCAGGAGCCCTCAGGGTCAGGATCAAGCCCCTTGGACCTCCCCACACTCCAGCCCAGGTCAGAGACAGAGAGGGCAAGGAACTGGGGGACTAGCCCCCTGTGGAGACCAGGGCAGGACTTGAAGCTGACCCACGGTCCCTTACTTTCCCAGGGTGGGCTTAGAAAGCAGGGGCTGCAAGAGGGAATCCCCGAAGGTGCCAGATGTGGGAGCAGGAGATTCAGAAGGAGAGACAGTGGATGGGATGCTGGAGAGGAGAGGAGAGAGGCGGAGAGTGGTCTCTGGCAGGTGGGAGGGGTGCCCACCTCCGTGCCTGCCCCTCCCCCCACGGCAGGGGCTCTGGACAGAAACAATAAAAAGATAAGCACAAGTGAGAACACTGCCTGGTCTCCTCTGGGGGTCCCCAGGATCACCCCTGAATGAACTGTGTGCTGCCCTCCTGCTCAGCACTGTCCCCAGGCCCAGCCACCCTTTTGTTCCCAGAGCCCCCCAGTCTTGCCAATATGCATAAGGCATATGGGGGAGGGGATGGGCCAGGCACTATGATTGGGGACCCTCAAATACCTCCTGTTGCACTGCAGCTCTGGGTCTACACCCTGGGCCCCCCACCTCATCTCCAGATCATCAGGGCCCAAGAACACTTCCCACTGCTCCCTAGAAGGACACGGCAGGTGCCCACGGCCTGGCTCTCAAGTGGGGCTCCTAGCCCTACCCCCAAAGAAGCTCACTTAAACCTGCCTGAGTACCTGCCATACACCAGGGTCAATTCAGGGAAAAGAACAGTGTGAAGCGAAATGCAAAGTTCTATCTTGTTCTTGAATAAGAAGACTCATTACTCTAAAGATGTCATTTCATCCTACATTAATCCATAATTTCAGTGTGCTGCCATCTCAATTAGAACACCAAAGGGAAATTCGGGGAGAATTTGGGAAAATGGGGGGGTAGGACACACACATATGCAAGTCAATCATTCACGCAAAAATGCTGAAAGTTTCTGTGGGGAGACCTTTATTAGTCAATGCAGAGCTTGGGGGGGTAATTGGACAGTCGCGGGGGAGATGTAGGAGGAAATGCTATCTCCTACACGCCTCCCAGAAAATAAATTTCAGGTGCATCAAAGATTTAGGAGGCCCGATGGGTTCCTGTAGGCCTCAGCCTCCCAGCTGCTCCCCACAGATGTAGGGATTACCCATTAGAGACCAGGGCAGACAGAGATCACAAGCATGGCACATTCAGACGGCCCGTAGGTGAAATAAACCTAGTGGAGTTTAGACTGAAGGTCTCTCATCTGATGTTCCCAGCAGACTTTTCCCAGAAACTTCTAAAAGCCCTTCTGCCTCTGATGTGGCCTTGCCCTAGGTGAACAGTCCCTCCCTCCGGAAAGGCCCCCCTCCTTCACCGTCATTTTCCCCTTTGCCATGGAGCACCTGGGGTACACTGAGGTTCTCCCTCCCACTCCAGCCAGCCGGACTCAGTTCTTCTCTCTTGTTGCTCCAGTGGGAGAAAGCCTGCAGGCCCCAGACCTGCCGCAAACAACCTGTAGTGCCACTCTGAATGAGACTGCAGCCAGCATTTCCAGGGTCTCCCCACTGGGACAGAGGCAGGGGGCCCTGGAGTCGCTGCTGGTCTCTACAGGAGTCACAGTGGGATAAGGGCAGATGGGCCCATGGGTGTAAGAGGTGACGTGTGCATGTCTGTGAGAGATTTCCAGTTCTTCCTTTTTGCTCTGAATGAGTTATGCGCCCTCATATAAAGAATAAAGTGACACCAGGCCAGGGAAGGCCTTAGGGGCAACTCCATCCTCCAAAAAGGGGTGGGGGCATAGGTATAGACATGTCGCTAAAATGGAGGGAGTGTGGGAACCTTAGACTCTCAGAGTCAGGCTTTAATGGTCCCCAGGAGGGACCCTACAGAAGCCCCTCCCAACCTTGTCCCAGCACCTTGATGAACAGTCACCAAGCTCTGCCTGAGTGTCTCTGGTGTCAGGGCACTCGCCCTCTTCACGCTGGCCTCTCCTAGCTGGGGACAGCTGAGTCAGGAGTCCTGCCCTCGGCACACATCTGCCTCATCTGTCTCCTGAGATGGCCACCACTTGCCCTCAGAGAATACCCAGCCCGGGGTCCCCCAGGGGGAGCCGGTCTCTGCTCAGAGCCTTATGGGGCTAGGAATTCCGGTTCTATACACCCTGCTTTGCCTCTTATTGGGAACTGGAAGGTGACCCAAGAAATCTAGGGCGGACACATGGATGTGGTCCTTGAAGAGAATGGACAAAAATAAACCAAAAAGATCTAGGTCCTCTGTGGTTACGCACACCCCGTCACCTCCATGGCAAAACCTCCATGTTCTTTGGGATGCTCTAGATTCTTCTTCAAGACTCTGAACAGCCAGAAATAAGGGGTTGATGCACCCATGGGACCCATGGGACTGCCAGGCGAGGACAGTGGGGGCAGATGTGCCTAAGCCAGGAACTGAGGGCTCAGTGCGCCCTTTCTTCCCATCGGTCCACCCTTAAGACAATGTGTTTGCTCCTCCCGGTTCCTCTCTCACCACCAGCCTGTCCGGGACACAGCAGTCTTTGGCTCCACACCTAACATGTCAGCTCCTGAAGGGCCAGCTTTCTGTCTGCTTCATTCACTGTTTTATCCCCAGTGCCCTGAAGAGTGCTTGGTTCATCGAAGGTGCTCATTAAATATTTAAAGGCTTGCTGAATGAAACACACTGGCCCTTTTATTTATTTTCTCTAAATTAAATATTGACTGTTCAGGTTGATGGCCCCCACTTCATTTGTTGACTCAACGAACATTTTCTGAGCTTTAACCTTGTGCTGGGCACATGGTGCCTCATTAAACCTCGGAGGAAATGCCTGCCAGCCCAGAGAGGTTGGGTAAACTGCCGAGGTCACACAGCATATCTGTGGCCCCAGAGGACCGAGACCCAGGCTCCTTGGCCTCTGGAGCCCAGATTTCTTTCCATGACACCACAAGCTTGTGATCGCAAGACAGACAACACACACCCAAGCCTGGCGCCAGGCTCAAGAGCACCGTGGGGCCCTTCTGAGGGACCGATGAGTGGACTGCAGGCAGCTGCGGGAGGTGGCAGGCCTGGCCCAGAGCCCCAGGGCTTCAGGGTCACTAGTGCTAACTCCTCCAGGAGAGGGCGCCAGTGCCTCACATGGGCCTGTGCCCTCCCTCCCCTGGCACTCGCATCCCTGCACACACATCAATGAATGCCCCTTTTATGGACTTTTGGACAGAAGCTGCACAGGCCATGCTCCAGGCTCTGTGCCAGGCCCTTTTAAATAGTTAATATTCGTTTTAATATTTAATACAATAATTTAATGCCATCACAACAACCTAAATCAGATCATGCAATTCCTCAGCTGGAAACCTCTGCCCCGACTTCCTGTTTCACTAGGATAAAGGCATGAGGCCTACAAGAAGCTGGGCTACTGGCCGCTGCTACCTGTCTGGTCTCATCAGCCTCCCAGCCATGCTGGCCTCTGGCTCTTCTTGGAGCCCATGGGGCATATTCCCACCGGTGTCTGAAGCTGTCAGACAGCTGCAAGGTTCGCTTCCTCACCCCTCAACATCGGCTTAGCTGTTCCCACTGTCCAGCTGGCTCCCACACCCTGCAAGCCCCCACCACCTCCCACCTCCCTAACTTCCTCCATTATCTTTCCCCACAGGACTCGACATTTTGCCTTTATATTTGTCTCCGTCCTCAATTACAAACAACACGGGGGCATGAGTCCTCTTCTGTTCTCTTTGCTGGTGATCTCCAGAACCTAGGTCAGCACCAGGCACGTAGGAGAATCTTGAAAATGTTTACTGAGTGACTAAACCACTTCCCTTCCTTTTTTTTTTTTTTTAAGATTTGTTTATTTATGCTTACAAGAACTGGAATAGAGACTAGAGGTGCAGGGAGGCGTGAGAGACTCATCAGAGACAGAGTGGGGAGCAGAACAGCTTGATCTACTGAAATAACACTGCTAAGGAGAGCAGCAGGTGGGTCAGGAGAGGCCTGCCGTGCCTCGTGGGTCAGCTCCCTGGCTGGGGATCGAACTCGTGCTGCAGTGGCTGCTGATAGCTTCACAGTGCTGTGCTTTAACCCACTGCACTACCAGGGGTGGTCTCTAGTCCATTCTTCTTGATATCCATCTGCTTTCAATGCCTCCCCCTATATTTTTACCTTTTGAAAATGCAGTTTACTCTTAAGGATTCACTTCATCATCAGCAGTTGCTGGAGGGAGGTGTGACTGACAAAGCAAGTGCTCAGGTGAGTATTTAGGATGACAGGATTGTTGGGTCCCGGGTAGCAGATGCATGATTCTCTGCATTTGTTAAACCTGAGAATTGCACAAAGAATAAGATTTAATGTATGCAAACAACAAAAAAAATCTCATTGCTCAGGCACTTAATCCCTGCAGACGCAATTCAGTGTTTAAATGTTTTCTCTCCGGCCTCTGCTTGCACACAGACGCAAGCACACTTGACTTCAGTTGCCCTGAATGAAGGTGGGGGCGGAGGCGGCGGCATTATGCATACCTTCTCCATCTCTGAATCCCTTGGACTCCTCTTTGTCCTGTCCAGGCTTTATCCACCCCTCAGAGTTCAAGGTCAGGCCTGGGTTTCTCACCTGTACTTTAAAATGTTTTATTTTATTTTGAGATAATTACAAATACACATTCAGCTCTAAGAAATAATACAAGAGGCCCTTCCAGCCTTCACTTGAACTCTCCCAATGGCCACATCTCACAACAGGGAAATTGCCATACAGTATTTCCACTGTCTTCCGATGCTACATTTTGCAAGCCCTCAGCATGTGTGCGTTCATGTGTGGGTGCACGTGTGCACATCCATTCAGTTCCACTGCAATTTCATCATGTCAATTTTTCATGTGCCTACCATGCCAATCAAGACACAGAACTTCTCCAGCATACAAGATTCATTTGGACTTTTCAAAGCCATAAAGTCCTACGTTGCTGGTTCTCAAAGGATAACCCTTCAATGCGAATCCGAATCAGCTGAGCCACCTGTTAAATATGCAGACTCCTGGGTGCTCCCAGCACCTTTTAGGAATGGGACTGGGGCTGTACCTTTAGTTGATGTCAGGCACTGAGCACTGCTGCTTTAACAGGCCTCCAACTGTCCCGACTCCAATGCACCATCCATTCTCTGGCTGCCAGAGGGTCACATCTCTGACCATGTTAACCACTGCCTAATTCCCAGCATGGTACCCCACAACCCCCAGGATAGAGACCTCAGCAAGCAAAGCCCTCTGGATCAGGCCCACTCCCCACTTCCACTCACCCCCCACCCCAGGTGAAGTTCCTCTACCCCCTCTGATTTCTCAGAGCATCTCA